CGCCTCCGCCCGCCCGCCGCTCTCCAGGGGGGCCACAATGGACACACAGCAATGGAGCAATGGCGCAGGGAGGTGGGAGGCGTGGCCGCGGGAGCCCCCACACCCCTCGGGGGACGCGGATCAGCCGGGGAACGCCCAAGGGAACAGAATTCAGCCCCGCCCCCCACGGTGTCCCACAGGACCCGCAAGGTGACAGCACCAGCCTGTCAAGAGGACCCCCTGGGGGCTCAAGAAGGCCGAGGGGTACAGGACAGGGGGAATGCACCAGACAGGCCAAGCAGGTGGGTGGGCGGCTGGCCAAGGCCACCGCGGGAGGGAAGGGCACATTACAAAGGGGCATGACCTATGGAGAGACAGGAGCCAGGGAGGCCCTGCAGACTCCCTGGGAGCTGGCCCCTGCTCTAGCACCAGTACAGCTGCTACAGGAAGGGTGGGACACGCGGCCCCTTCTACAGAGGCACTTCCCCATCGCTACCTCCAGGAGGCAGGCCACCAGCCAGGTGAAAAGGCTGTTTGCCAGGGAACCCAGGAGGCAGGTGCTGGGGCAGAGCAGACAGCAGCCAAGGGAGCACCTGGCCCTCTCAGAAGCAAATGCAGAGCCTCTGCCAGTCCCCGAGGTGGTCAGCCACAGCCCCGCAGCTGCCTCCTGGCTCAGTGACCAGGAGGCCAGAAGTCAGGTCTGAGGCTGGAAATGCCCCCTCCCGTGGCCACCAATGCCCTCCTCTCTCTTGACGACGGAGAGCCCCTCCCTCCACTGGGAGCAGAGCCAGAACATGGTCCCCGGAGCCCTCCAGCACCAGGGATGGCCAGTGGTCTAGGCTCCGTCCTCACTGCATGGGCTACCAAATGCCTTGACCCCTACTCCAATGTCATGGGCCCAAGCACCTCCTCTATTCACACATCACACATGGGGTTCCATAGCCCAGAGTGCATGGGAAGCCATTTGCATTCTGGGCCTTCTGCTGAGTAGGACCACCTTTGGATAAGGTCTTATTATCCCAATACTGAGCTCCCCCATCGCCAAGGAGAAACCTCATCTGAGGCCTGAGGCCCACCCTGGAGCCTCCCAGGCTGCTGGATGAACAATGAGGGCCATGGCATCTGTCTCCTGCAACCGCCACGTGGTGCTCTGGGCACAGTGCCCACTTCAAACAGTCCTTACAACCACCTCAAGAATCAGGTGCTACTCTTGTCCCCATTTCACAGATGAAGATACTGAGACTAAAGAGAGGATGTTACTTGCTCAGGGTCCCACAGTGAGTCAGGATCAGACACAGGCAAGGGCAAAAAGGAAAAACATTTGTAAAGAAGACATGAGTCCTTGGCCAGACCCCAACTGCACTAACAGCACAGGCTACAACCACGGCCTGCAGAGGTCCAGGCCGGTGGCCACCAGCTCCAGGGCCCTGAGCCGCTGAGCACCACTCTGACCTGCAAAGACAGACCTCAAGAAGGCCGAGGGGTACAGGACACTGGGAATGCACCAGACAGGCCAAGCAGGTGGGTGGGCGGCTGGCCAAGGCCACCATGGGAGGGAAGGGCACATTACAAAGGGTCTTATTATCCCAATACTGAGCTCCCCCATCGCCAAGGAGAAACCTCATCTGAGGCCTGAGGCCTCAACCCTGAGGCACAACCCTGCAGCTGGCCCACCCCAAGCAGGTAGACAGTAAATCCTGCCCCTTTGTAGAAGTCCAAGCTGCAGTGGGAGCAATGTCCAGGGGCAGCACCTTGCACCAATGAAAGCGGAAGTGTGGTGTCTGTGTCTCGCCTGGGAGCTTGGGTGGGGTGGGGGCAGGTAGGGCTACCTGTAGGGGCCGTCTGCAGACCCCCAGCCTCAGTTGAAGCCCCTGGCCCTGACCTGTTTCCCTGATGCATTGAAACTGTGCTGCCCCTGGCTCCCAGGGGTGCCCTACAACTGACCCACAGACGACCCACCAACCCCAGCGGGGACCAAGACAAAAGGGCTCTACTGTCAACAGTGCTGAGTGGTGTAAAACAGAAGGCAGCCCGGGGGCGTGCACCAGGCACAGGAGCCCTGTGAGGGCGGAGGCTGTTCACTGCCTCCAGTCTCCCAGTCCACTCCAGTGCCCAAAAGGGGCCTAGGCTCTGAGCCACTTGGTCGGCAGGGTGGCCTGCTCTGATGAAGCCGTGAATCTTGGGGACCAGAATCGCAGTGAGGACCATGGGGGAACATGCAGAGGCACAGGGTCTGTGTGAAGGTGGGGTGGGCCCCAGACCACATAGCTCTGCCCTCACCCTTGCATTCAGGTGCGGCTCCTTCTCGCCCAGGAAACGCCTGGAGCAGGGAGAGGCCAGGCTGTCTGCTGGACTGAGGGCGCTGTCAGGCTGGCAGACTCCCCTGTGACTACCCGGGGAAGAGTGAGAGGCTGAGCAGCCTACACTAGAGGCACCTGCCCACCCCACTACAGCCCCACTGGCTCCACCTGGCCTGTTCTTTCTGGGCCTATCTGCTGTTCTCGGCCCTAATATCATCAGAGCCTCTGCATCTGCCCTCACTCGGCCAGTAGCACCACCAGGTTCCTCTCTGGAGGTATCCCCTAGGTCTCTGGATCTGTGTGCCGGGGCCGTCTGCTTGGTGTCTTGAGTCAGCCTGCACCTCCCCCGGCCACCGTCTCTGTCCTTGCTCTATCTGGCACGTATCCACACCAACTTAGAGTGAAGTGTGGCTGGTGACTAATCCAGGCAAAGTCCTGGTTTAAAAGGGCTCTTTAAGGAGGTCAGATGGACGACTGGCACCCCTGTGTCCTGGCCTCAGCTGGGAGGCACGACCCAGCTGTTCCCGGGAGGAGGGTTCAGCCACACTCAGCCAGGCGCTGTGGCAGAGCAGAGGCAGGCACTGTGGAGGACAGCTCAGCCACACTCAGCCAGGTGTGGGGAACCGCAGGACTCAGAAGTGACGTCGAGGCGCTCTGTGGTCCTGCTTTGAGGTCTCTCGCAGATAACCCGCAACTGCTGACAAAATGAAGCAGCCCTAGTATGCCACCATGGATACCTGCCATCTGCATTTTTTTTTTTTTTTTTTTTTTGGAGACAGAGTCTTGTTCTGTCACCCAGGCTGGAGTGCGGTGGTGCAACCTCGGCTCATTGCAACCTCTGCCTCCCGGATTCAAGCAATTCTCCTGCCTCAGCCTCCCAAGTAGCTGGGACTACAGGCACTCGCAACCACTCCTGGCTAATTTTTTGTATTTTAGTAGCGACGGGGTTTCACCGTGTTGCCCAGGCTGGTCTCGAACTCCTGAGCTCAGGGAATCTGCCCACCTCGGCCTCCCAAAGTGCTAGGATTACAGGTGTGAGTCACCGTGCCCAGCCGCCATCTGCATCTTACACCTTATTCCACCCTGTGGATGGATTCAGGATCCAGCATGCTTTCTTGCCCCAGGAGACATCAGTGCTTCTGACAGCCAGCAGCAAACAGTGCTCGGGGAAAGACTGAGCCCAGCTCCATGCTGGCTGCCAGCAAGGAAGCACCGGGCAAGGGGGTCAGGGGCAGCAGGGGCTTCACCGCCATCAGGACACAGACAGGACACCTGGCCACTTCCATCAGGTGCCAGGTGGCCTAACTGCACCTGACCACTTCAGGGACCCCTCACCTGCAGGGCCTGGCCTGCAGAGTCTTCCCCTGGAGGGCAAGGCCAGGCCCTGCAGGTGAGGGGTCCCTGAAGTGGTCAGGAAGCCAACCGTGAGCACTTCTCCATAAGAAGCTGCCCGAGGGGAGGCCAGCCAGTCACTCCCTGGAGGGCCACCTGGGGTTTCCACGTCTCTGCGTCAGGCCCTGGGTGGTCTACTGTAAGCTTCACAAGTGGACAACAGCTCTCTGCTCTTGCTAAAACGAGGACTTCCTGAGAATCACAGACACAGTCCCTCCCGAGTAAGGGGCCTGGGAGGACCCATAAACGTCCCCGGTGAGCCCCTAAAGAGCACTCTCTGCTGTGCCTGCTCACAGGGCCCTGGCCTCATGGGAACCACAAAGAGACCTGAGCCCGTGGCGCCCAGTCCACTCAGGAGAAGCAGACACACTCGAGACACCGGAGGGAGCGGACACAACAGTCAGCAGACAAAAAGACAGAGACCAGGAGGGAAAGGAGGAGGGGCTGAGCACAGAGGGTCTGACCCCGTGGCAGGACTCGGGGACGTCAGGGAGCAAGCCCACCATTCCCCGCCCAGGCCACGGAAGCCTGGAGCTGCCCCATAAAGCAAATGGCTTGTGGTGAGAAAGCAGAGTTAGGAGTGGAAGGAAGGTGTCTGCATGTAGTTATCATGAAGCCATGGATGGAATATCATAGCAGAGCGACTCACGGTGAGTTCACGCTGGAGACAGATGAGCTGCGAGATACAGTACCTCGAGCTTGCTTTACAAAACTGCACATGCAAAAAACAGAACAGACAGAGGTGAGAAAATCAGAGAGAGTTCTGAGAGAACCAGTGACACTGAGAGCCACGCCAGTGTAGGCGCAGGCTGCCGTGTGCATCTGGACAGGAGGCCGCGGACGCGTCTGTCAGACGGGCACCAGCCGAGACCTCAGGGTGAAAGAGAAGTTGAGAACCAATTCCACACATGCAGAAAAGTGAGACTGCAGAAAAGTGAGACAGCAAACCCTGTAATTGCTGGAAGACAGAAGCCATTAGCTCGGGGGCCCATCCATCACTCAGCACACACTGCCCAGGACAGGCAGTGCGGCTGGGAAGACCCAACACCGATTTTCCTGCAGTTCCAAACAGCCCCCAGCACCCTGAGGTGGGAGGCTGACCGCACTGTCTCCTGGCCCTGGAGATGGGGCAGCATAGGCTAACAAAGGAGGCAAGGGTGCCCTTTCCAGACATGCCCTTCCCGGAGATGCCGCCTGGGCCCTGCTGCCAAACCCACCTGCCTTCCGGGCGAGCACCTGGGCCCCACTCTGGTTCCAGCCCCAGTGCTCCCCAGGCTGCAACCCAGGCGCTTCCAGGCCACCAGGACACCTCCAGGGCAAATCAAGCTATACCCCAACCCACCTTCCTTTTGGGTGCAGTTCCAGCCATTTCCAAGTGACTTTTCAAAGGCTTTTCTAAAACCAACAGAAGGAAACCAAAGTTTCCTTTACAGCCATTTCCCTCCAATTGGCTTCCCAGGGGAGGGCCAGGCGAGGGCCAGGTGGGCTCCAGCCCCTCCTTCTCATAACCAAGGTCTCTGTGCCTTTGTGGGCAGTCAAAGCAGCTTACTTGCCCACAGGCTCTGGGTGCAAACAGGCATGTGTGTGTGAGTGGGTGTGTGAGTGTGACACTGTGAGTGATGAGTGTGTGAGACTATGTCCGTGAATGTGTGAGATTGTGCGTGTACGTGAGAGTATGGGATGATTATAACTGAATGTGTGAGATTGTGAGTGTTGTGAGGGTGAACCTGTGTGTCTGTGTGAGTCTGTGTGTACGATTCTGTCTCTGTGCCTATGTGACTGTGTGTCTGTGTGTACCTGTGTATAAGTGTACATGTGAGTCTGTGTGCCTGTGTGTCTGTGTGTGCCTGCCTGTATGTATTTGTGAGTGTGTGTGTGTGTGAGTGTGATTCTGCAGGCTGCCAGTGTTCAGAAATCCACGTGTGAGTGTGTGTGTGAGTGAGTCTGATTCTGCAGGCTGCCAGTGTTCAGAAATCCACGTGTGAGTGTGTGTGTGAGTGTGATTCTGCAGGCTGCCAGTGTTCAGAAATCCACGTGAGGATGAGGTTGACCCAGCAAAGAACCAGGAGGACATGTCCCTCCAAGCAGCTGTCACCTGAGGCCCAGGATACGCACAGCACTGCATGCAACACACTAGGGCACCCTTCGGAGGTAGGTTCTGGCCCCGTCTGTGTCAAGCCAAACAGAGCATCACTGAGAGCCTCTTAAACACCAAGGACACCCCAAGTCCTCCCAGCACCCAGGGCACCAAGCCCGGCATTGGCCCTGCTCCACAGGTCACGCAGCACAGCTGTGGGGGGCAGGAGCAGGGTGAAGGGTACTCAAGGGCACTGCTCTCGCCCAGCCCAGCAGCTCAAGGTGCTGGAAATGAGAGCAGGACAGGAGGTGGCACTGCTCGTCCCACCAGGACAACAGGAAGCAGACGAGGACAGATGACAAGACAGCTTTCAGCCCTCGGAGGCCTCAGCACAACACGGGCACGCAACAGCAGCAGCAGGGCCAGGCCTCGCCAGGTGCAGGGCCCTCCTTGAAGGAAACCCCTGAAGGTTGATTCCTGCAGGATCTCTTGTGGTGGAAATCAGACTGGCTGTCATGTCCAACCGGTGGGCTGAGGACATGCCACAGAGGATGAGGGCCCACAGCTGCACCTCAGGCAGGGACCATGGGGGCTGACACTTGGATGCCTCAGGCTGGCTCGGGCCGGCCGCCCCTTGCCACGTGTGAGGGCTGCAGCCTGCTTGAGTTGAGGATGCTGGCGCCGGAGCTGACACCTGGCTCCAGACCCACCTTGAGGAAGAACAGCTAGGGGTCCCCCGGCAGAAAAGAAGCTCTGTCCTCACGTAGGAATCAGCGTGGTGCTCAGGCCAACAGGTGGTGTCGAGGTACCCTGTGCCCAAGGATGCCAGTCTACTGCCTTGGTCCTGCATAGCAGTGTCTCCAAACCAGGACGGGGCAGCAGATAAGGAAGTATCCAGCCTCCTTTTCAGGCTCCGTGACTGCCGGGGCCCTGGCAGCCTCTTCGGCAAGGTCTCAGCCCAGATGGGAGTGGACACCCTCCCATACCCCCAAGAGGAGGCAGGCCCTGCAGGCAGCAGGGGTCAAGGGACAAGCACTCGCCTCTAGGAACAGCAGAGAAGGCAAGTCCTAAAGAGAACAACCCAAGGCCTGCACGAGGCCAGGAGCTGAACACACCACTCGCCCCCTCTACGGCAGACCACACACCTGCAGAGCTCACAGAGCCCTGGCAGCGACCCCTGGACCACGTAACCAAACTAAATGGACTAAATAACTAACGGACCAAATAACCGAATTGGCCAAGACAATGAAAGATCGAAATTAAACAACTGAGGACTGAGCCCCCAGCAGTCTTCTGCGTGATGGCCACCGTGTCCACAGCTGCCAGCTTCCCCTGCAGGCGGCTCCCATCCCTGCCTGAGTCCCCGGCGGGCTGCAGCCTCTCCTAGCTGCTGCTGCCCCAGAGACCAGCACTTTCTGCTAGGCTTAGAGACAGGCCCTCCGCAAGCACATCTTCCTGGTGCCCTCCAGGCAGGATCAGGGCTGGTGTGGGTGTGCACACACTCAGCACATGCACTCACACACCGTCACTGTGCAACTCTCAAGTGCGCACACACCTAGCACACTCATCCACATGCCAACATGCTTACACAGTAGTGCAGACACACGTCACTACAGATGGACCTGTGGCTGTGCCCGGCCCTGTGCTCCGTGTTCGCGGCAGGGCGGGTGGCCAGCTGAAGGGCGGGGCCCACCCATCAGCATGGGGAATGGGAGGTGTTGGGGGCGGGCATATGCAGCCGGACGGAGCTAGCGGCTCCAGACCTCAATTCAGCTGGGCCCAGAGAACAAGCTCCCAGCAGGGGCATCTCTGCACTCTTGTGGCCCACCCCGTGACCAGGCCGTGGGTCAGACTCCTGCCTCCCTTCCCAGGGGCTGACCTCCCACAGCTCGGCTCACTGCAGCCTTTGGCCCTGGGCTGGACGCTTTGCCCAAACTCTAAAGCCCCTAACGCCTCCAAATGTGCTTCTGTGGAATAAGCCGTTTTCGCCAGAATAACTTCCTCCAACCTCGGTCCCAGTACCAAACACCTGAGAGACGTTTTTGGAAACTGCAGTGAGTCTCTCAGGCTGCTCAGGTATCACCTAGAATCTCTTGGCTCATAAAATACATTTCTGAAAAGCTGTGCATAAAATCAACTTACTGACTCCCTCCCCTAACTGATTCACAGTTGCCCGGGGAGGGCCTGGAGCCACCCTGAGGCCATCGAGGGAGTGAATATCATGGCAGACAATCCCAGCCACAATGTGAGGGCTGTGCCTAGCCAGACCCTGGCCCTGTTCACACTGAGAAAAAGCCCTGGAGCCCCCAGGCTCTCATCTCAGTTCCGAGGAGGGGCTGTGTCCTCACCAGCCAAGGCCAGGCGCCCTCTGAGGAAGCCTCTGGAAGGGGTGCCCTGGGGAGGGCCCAGCCACGGGACCTGCAGCAGCCCCACTGCCACCCCACGGTCCGGTCCCAGGAGCCTTACGCAGCGATGGAGATGTTCGCGGCAGACATGGGGCTGACTTCGGCCACTTCTTTGGCCTTTTGCAGAGCAAGCTTCTGATTGGCTGCTTCTTCCATCTCCTCTTCATCCTGTTTGAGCAAAGAGAAATGTCCAGTTCTCCTCACAGTGTTACAGCCACTCTTCCTTCAGGGGCCTCAAAAAATACACAGTGCTGCTCTCTGTCCAGTGGAGACAGGCAGCCCACCCGAGTGAATGTGGCCCCCCACGAGCCACTCCACAGGAGCTCTCTCGGGTGCTCTCCAGGGCCTCCCCTTCTGTGTCTGTGACTCAAAGGTAATGGTTGCTGGGGTTCCTTCCTCAGTGCCCTCTTGCTTCTGCCATCTCCCTGGAGGCTACAGCCTCACCTCTGTGCTATCCTGACCTTACTCTGAGCTCTAGCCCAGGTACCCAGCCACTGACTGGATATTTTCATTTGCTTGTTTTGCTTTTTGTTATTTGTTTTTTTCAGAGACAGGGTCTCGCTCTGTCACCCAAGCTGGAGGGTAGTGGTGCAATCTCAGCTCACTGCAGCCTCGACCTCCCAGGCTTAAGTGATCCTCTCACCTCAGCCTTCCAGGCAGCTGGGACTCCAAGCATGTGTGTCCACGCAGCTGGGACTCCAAGCATGTGTGCACACCCATACCAGCCCTGATCCTGCCTGGAGGGCACCAGGAAGATGTGCTTGCGGAGGGCCTGTCTCTAAGCCTAGCAGAAAGTGCTGGCCTTTGGGGCAGCAGCAACTAGAAGAGGCTGCAGCCTGCCGGGGACTCAGGCAGGGATAGGAGCCGCCTGCAGGGGAAGCTGGCAGCTGTGGACACTGGCTAATTTTTTCTTAATTCAATTTTTCTTGAACTTCTAGGCTCAAGCAGTCCCAAAGTGCTGGGAGTACAGGTGTGAGCTACCACGCCTGGCCTTCAGCCTGTCTGTACCACGGCACCTTGAACTTGCCCACTGAAAGGCAAATCTATCCCTCCTTTTGTCCCACCTGTCCCCCCAGGAGCATCAGTCACACTTGAACATAGCCAAGAGCAAGGGCAAGAGGCTCTGCACCCATGGCTGAGTCCTGACCCAGCACTGCCCACAAGCACTGCCACCAGGAGGGTGTCCAGTGGGCCACGCACCACCTTTGAGTTTTTCTACCTGGAGCCAGCAGACCACGTCTGTCCCCGCGTCCCCCGCTGTGGCTGTGAGAAGCTCTCCCTGTCTCCCCCACTCCTCGGTGACCGCCTGCGGTGCCTGGCCCTGAGCTTCACACGGCTCCTGCCCTCAGGGCTGGGCACATGCGCACGTGCAGGCAGGTGCAGTTTCCTCTGCCCCCTCTGGCCCTGACCCCAAGTCACTAAACAAGACCAACATGCTCAGCACCTGGATTCCGGATCAATGGTTCTAGGCTGAGACCACAGGCCCCAGAAGGGAAGCTACGACTTCCATGTCGTCCATCTGGACTGCAGCCACCACTGTTTCCTCACAGTCCTGAAGGCCAGACCCACCTGGCTCCCCCGGGAGCCCGCATTCCCAATATTCCCTAAAATGCCCTTGAATCTTCTTTTGGGGCACAACACTGGCAAAAACTAAGTCCCTTGTTAGCTGCCTGCAAATTTCCCTCCACAGAGAAGAGACCTTCAAACCTCAAGCCCAGAGAGAAGGCAAAGCCAGACCCAGCAGGAAACACCCACACCCAGGTCCCTCCTGGAGGATCCGGCTCCATCCAGCTTCCCATCCTCTGGGGCAGGGACTTCGCCAGTCACTCCAGGGAGTGTTCTGAAGTCCCCTGGAAGGTCTAAAACAAATTCAAGCTTATCCTCACTTCAAAAAGTACATAGCGCTGTAATACTTTTGTGGGAGTATAAGGGAAGGGGATGGTTGAGTCACAACCTTTGGGGCTCTTGGTCAGCCCAGAAAACCGCCCACAGCCAAACACAGACAGGCCCCCAGTGGCCCCAGTTCTCAGAGAAGAAATTCCTGAATTAGGCCAGTTACGCAAAAGGGGGCCACCAATGAGGGTACATGTATGTGGACACAGGGCCCCAAGGACACGGTTCTCTGCGTCCTCCCTCACGACAGAACTTAAAGAGACAATGGGGCCCCAGCGCTCCAGTGCAGCCCACCCAGGACAGCTAGGGCCCTCCAAGGCAACCACAGAACCAAGGAGAGCTCTGTGGGTACTTGGGCTCCCCCAACCCAAGCAGCACATGCTGAAGACAGGAACAGGCAGAAGCCAGAAACCAGAGCACCAGGGAGGAATCCAGGCCCCCAGGTATAGCCATGGCCCAGGTCTGGAGGCATGGGAGTAAGAAGGCTGAGCAGGAGCAAAGGGAGGCTCAGGCTGCAGCTGGCACACTGCACGGACCATGTCCCCCTCCCGGAGAGCTGGGTTGGGGGGAGCAGGGACACCTGCACAGCACTCACTCTTAGAGAAGCTCTGTGGCACACCTGCATCTCTGCTGCCCAGGGATAGAAATCCTGAACCTGCCTCTCTCAGCCCCAGAACAAGGCAAGATGGAGAGACACTGGACCGGATGATGGAGCTGCGTCAGACCCCTAGACGTGCACAGGTGCATGCAGACACCTGTCCAGGGATGGTGCACAGGCAGAAGAGGGCACACGGTGACACGCACACAGAACGGTGTCCACACGGGTACATGCTGATGCACAGAGCATGCACGTGGGACGTTTGCAGCGTGGTTCATGCCAAACCAGAGGCAGCACCACCTCTGCCAGGAGCTAGGGCTCGAGTCAACACACAAGCCTGCGACTCAGATGGCAGGTGGCCACATTACCAGCGTCCAGGGCTGGGGAGAGCATGACCAGGCGGGGGCATGTCATCCGGAAGGATATCACAGAGGGAGACATGTACAATCGCATCCCCCACCAGGTTCAGGGATGAGAGGAATATTAAAATGGCACCCACTGGGCACTGCCTGAAGCAGCAGCTGTCCCACTGTGGCACAGCTGTGCTGGGACAGGCCACCAGCTGCTCCTCCCGCTCAGACCCCTCCTGCTCCCAGCACACCCTGCCGTTCAGGCCGTTCTTCCTGGTGCTGGCTTCTCTGAGAACCTGCCTGTCCATCTGCCTTCTGGGCTCTGGCTCTCCCTGCATCCTCAGCTGCAGCCTCCAGCCCCTGAGTGACAGACCAGCCTCTGCCCGCCAGGACCCGAGGTAACGCTCCTGGACAGGGGACACATGAGGCCCTAACCCAGGACCCAGACTCCTCCTGGCTGCAGCCACATTCAAGTGGCATGGGCTGACACCAGCCCCTCCCTGTCCCCACCTACCTTGGTCAGCTCCTGGGCGTTGGCCAGGTTGTCCACAGCGATGGCCAGGAAGACATTCAGCAGAGTGTCTGGTTGGGTCCAGCTGAGGAAGGGAACCTCTGCCCCACACGGCCCCACAGTCACACTGCAGCTTCCCCCATCTCCCCAGATCCCAACCAGCCTCCAGCCTCCTTCCCTTGGCACCTACCAGCTCCCCCAGGCCCCATCCCCAGACACACTCCAGCCCAGCCACTAGGCCCTCCAGCTCCCTGTTCCCTTCTCACCTCCAGCCTCTCTGCCAATCCCTCCTTTGTTCAGCCTCCCATCACCCAGCCTCCCCTAATGCCCACCTGAGCCTCTTCCCCCAACCCAGCTCTTTTGGGCTGACTGTGCAGGTGCAAAGCTCAGAGGCTGGGCTGGAGCCATTTGCCTCTGCCTCCTAACGAGGGCCCACGGTCAGCCTGCTGTGCTCCCAACTCCCCAAGCTCCGACCAGCACAAGAAGCCTCCCCACAAACAGCTTCTACTCCACAGGCTCCAGGTGGGGCTCCACTGCCTTCTGGGTCCTGTGAGCAGAGACCACCACAGACAAACTACGAGCAGGCAAACCCACCCGTGGCCAGCACATGCCGGGTCCCAGGTCCAAGGCCCACAGACGCCACCTAGTGCTACCTTCCCCTCCTTTCCCATTTCCTTTTCCCGCATGGTGTCCTGGGGCCTCTCCCTTGCAGCATCCCCCTCTAGATCACAGCACTCATATCAGGCCATGGAGACGGCAGATGGCATGATCTGGATCCTGGGACTGCACCTTGCCTCAACTGACCCCCGAGGAGCCCAGTGTGAGGTGCTGCCCCACCGCGTAGAAATGAAGCAACCAAGGCCCAGAGGGAAGCACCTGCCACAGGTCCCGGCACAGGCACCACCTGGGGTGGGCGGCCTCCTCCTCAAAGCTCGCGGGACCAGGTCCTTGTCCGGTCACGGTGTTTTTCTTTGCAAAAGGAACTCTTCACCTGTCACTGGAAGCTGCCTTTTCCTGAACGCTCACCTCCCTGCCCCTGCGCAGTTTCCCAGAACCACCCCTGACACAGTCAGGACCCTGGCTGTGACTCGGATCTGTCCCTCCAGACCCTGGCCATTAGGGGGACCCTCCTGGCCATTTTATCACTCCAGGTTTCTCAGCCCAGGCCCTGCTGGCATTTGGGGCTGAGCAATCCTCTATGGGATGGCAGGCAGCACCCCTGGTCTCCGTCCACTTGAGGCCATCAGCCCCTCCCCGTCAGTGCTGACAACCAAAAGTGACTCAGACACTGCCAAATGTGCCACAGCATCTGTGGGGAGAGGAAGTTGCCCCCGTTAGAACCTTGCACTCCACGTGATCGAGCCGGTTTCACCACAGGCCTGCGACTCACCCTGCCTAGGCTGCAGCCACTCTCCCTGTGGTGCTGGCCTGTGCCAGGTCGAGGAGCAGTTGACTCTGTACGAGGCCAACAGCAGCGACCCAGGCAGGTCAGGTCCCTCCCTGGCTGGACAGGTACCCCCTCCCTGGGGGTCAAGGGAGCGCATATCCCAGGCCAGAGCCTCACAGGCAAGTCCACACAGAGCTCCAGCAGATCCCACAGGGCAGGACACTGAGGCCAGGCTGACACCTCCAGGCACTAGCCACAGCCACCGACACCCTCAGAGGCTTTCATGCCCAGAAAGCAGGACCAAGGGCCATGCCCCTTGGGATCCAGCAGGAGTGACGCTGAGTGGATGGGAGGGGGACGCTTGTGGCCAGCATGCCTGGCCTGAGTGTCAGGGTCAGACTCAGCTATGGTGAACCACTGGCCACTGCTCTGTCTCAAGACAGAGGCACCTCCTTCTGGACGCCGGCTGTCCTGTCTGAGGCCTCCGTCCCTCTCTGACAATTGTGGCTGCCTTTCTTTGGTGCCTCCGGTACCAGCCCCAGGGCCACCCATCTCCAAAGCAGACACTGCCCCCTCAGGCTCCCTGGAGCCCCTCCTAGGCTCACACTCAGCTTCCCAGGGAAGCTGGATCCCCCACTCTGCGGACCAGGACCTGAGCTGCAGCCTAAGGACCACCCCGTGACAAACAAGGCTGAGAGAGTGAGCCCCTGCTGGGCCAGCCTAGCAGAGGTGGAGCAAGGAATGAGGAGACAGGGAGGCAGAGACAGGAAAGAAGGTGAAGTGTGCAAGGGCATTGACGGCACCAGCACCAGTGAGGCAGAGACGAGGACAGAGAGACGGGGTGAGTGGCCGTCGTGTGTGAGAAGGTCGAGGGAGAAGCAGAGCCGGGAGGTCAACCGTGAGACATTGTCTCCAGCTCCTCAGGGTCCTGCAAGGTGTTCCGCCACAACAGTTCTCAAAGTGGGGTCCCCAGACCAGCAACACAGGCTCCCCCGGCAGCCTGTGAGAATGCACATTCTCAGGCCCCAGCCCAGTCCCACTGCCTCTGACACCATAGGCTAGGGCTGGAATCCAGGCTTACCATCCCTCAGGGGACTGTGATGCTCAGGTGAGTTTGAGAACCAAAGACACTTCTCCTAGGCCTTAACTTCCCACCTCAGCTACAGGGGGACCCACACTCACACTGCTAGTCATAGCCCTCACCCTCGTCTGTACCATGAACGCTGCAGTTCTCCCTCCAGATCTTCCTTGGCCCCAGCCCTGTCCCTATCATGGCCCTTGGCGGAGGCAGAGCTCACCACCAGCTGCTGGACTTGCCCTGACCCCACAGACCCACTCTCTGACTCAAGGTCCTGAAACAGCCCAACTGTCATCCTCCACAGAAAACCTTTCCTTACGTTTCTCTGCAAAGGGGACGGTATCAGCAGGCAGAAGGGCTCCTTTTTAAAGTCCAGTGCCAAAACCTAAATACGCAATTAAATCAAAGTGAAAACACAAACCCACCTGCCTGGAGTGTGAGGCTCCCCGACTGCTGCTCAGAGTCCGTAAGGCCTGCTGCAGGCCGCACCCACCCCCACCTCTGGATACCCCCACACGCAGCAGCTCATGCTCCCTCAAGCTGAGTCCCGCAGCCTCCAGACTCCTGTGCTCCAGCCACCTGCAGAATGTTCTCCATCTGCACTCAACTCTGAGAATGCATCTCTCATGTCCATGGCCCCCAGTCCTCCTGGAGGGATCCACGTGGTGGCCATGGGGAAAAGGAGGGCCACGCACTGACCACCCTCTGCCCCAGCCCCACAGAAGGATACAGTTTCCGAACAGCGTCAGGACAATGAAGTAAAAGGACGAGAACATGCCTTTGCTGACACCGCCTTGCGATTCGATCCCGTGATACATCACTGCATTCCAGTCCTCTCCTGTCAGGATCTGCCAGGATGGAGAGAACACAGGGCAAGCCCCCGTGGCTGCCTTCCCCATACACACGCACCCTCACCCACACAAGTGCATGTGCACCGTCATGTCCACACACACCACCACGTCCACACACGCACATCCAGGCCTTTACATGCTGCTGCTTCCGAAGGTCTGGGCATGCCAGGGTCCTCCAGAAAAGCTTCCAGAAGGACGTGGCTGCAGAACTCGGTCTTAAAAGATTAACATGCTCTAGGGTTTCAGCCAGAAATGAAAAGGGAGCTCCCAACAGGAGAAGGAGGTGGGCAGAGCTGAGGGCAGCAGTGAGCTCAGGCATGGAGGGACGAAGCAGCGCCATCCACGTCACTGTGCCACCGTCAAGAAAGCCGAGGTTCAAAGGGGACTGGGCTGCACACGGCCACCCAGCAGAAGCAGAGCCTTATGCTCTCAGTTCCTGCCACTCCACTTGGTGGGTCCAGCCTCACAGCCTGGCTAAATGCAACCCTTGTCCTAGTAGCAAACTTATGTCTCTCTTCTACTTTTATGTTTGGAAACATACAAGAAAATAATAAATACTCGTGTGTCCCCCACCCAAAATGGAAATTCTGCCCCATGTGCAATGATCCCCCTCCCCATGACCAACTCCAACCAGCGATCTGACACAGATCCAAGTCTTTTTTCTTTTGTCACTTTCTATTTGTTATTTGTGGGTGTTTTTAAATTTTTTTTTTTTTTTGAGACGGAGTCTCGCTCTGTTGCCCAGGCTGGAGTGCAGTGGCGTGATCTCAGCTCACTGCAAGCTCCGCCTCCTGGGTTTACGCCATTCTCCTGCCTCAGCCTCCCGAGTAGTGAGACTACAGGCGCCGCCTCCACACCCGGCTAATTTTTTGTATTTTTAGTAGAGACGGGGTTTCACCGTGTTAGCCAGGATGGTCTGGATCTCCTGACTTCGTGATCCACCTGCCTCAGCCTCCCAAAGTGCTGCGATTACAGGCGTGAGCCACCATGCCCAGCTGTGTTTTTTTGTTTTTTTTTTTTGTTTCTTTTTACCAATACCTAATATTTGTACATATTTTAGGGTACTTATGGTATTTTGATACATGCATACAATGTGTAATGATCAAATAGGGTATTCAGCATATCCATCACCTCAAACATTTAGCATTGTGTTGGGAACATCTTAAACCTTTTCTTCTGATTATTTTGAAATAGACAATATATTGTTGTTAGTTACAGTCACCCTACCATTCTATCAAACACTAGGACTCGCTCCTTCTGTCTAACTCTGTTTGTACCCCTTAACCAGCCTCTCTTCAGGCCCCTTCCCACAGCCTTCCCACCTTCTGGTAGCCATCATTCTAACCTCTACCTCCAAATCAGCTGTTTTGTTCTCACATCTGAGGGGAACATGTGAAGTTTGTCTTTCTGTGCCTGGCTTATTTCACTTAACTTAACGACCTCCACTTCTATCCACGTCGCTGCAAATGACAGGATTTCATTCTTTCTGTGGCTGAACAGTGTTCTGTCATATATATACACCATATTTTCTGTATCCTTTCATTTGTTGACAAGCACTTAGGCTGATCCCGTATCTTTGCTACTGTGAATAGTGCTGGCATGAGCATGAGGAGGAAGGCACCACCTCCATGTTCCAACTTCCTTTCCTTTGGATAAACACCCAGCAGCGGGATTTTTGTACTATGGCTCCTCTTGAGGAGCCTCCATACTGTTTCCCAGAGTGGCAGGACTAATTTACATTCCCATCGACAGTGTGAGAGAGTTCCCTTCTCTCCATATCCTTGCAGCATTTATTATTTTTTGTCTTTGATAACAGCCACCCCAAATGGGTGAGACGCTACCTCACTGTGGTTTGGATTTGTCTTTGCCTGATGACTAGTGATGCTGAGTATTTTTTCATACATCTGTTGGCCATTTGTATGTCTTCTTTTGAGAAATGTCTATTCAGAGCCTTTGCCCACTTTTAAATGTGATTATTTGTGTTTTTTTGCTGTTGAGTTGTTTGAGTTCCTTGTATATTGTGGATAGTAATCCCTTGTTGGATGAATGGATCCAAGTCTTTAGGGTTCCACTACACATCACACATATACACATATGTATAAACAGAATACCCCATATGTGCTAAACATGCACAGGAAGGTACAAGACTACACGTCATTCTTCAACTTGCTGTTTTCATTCAACAATACAGCTTTGAGGTTTCTCCATTCTTTTTTTTTTTTTTTTTTTTTTTGAGACAGGGTCTTGTTCTGTTTCCCAGGCTGAGGTGCAGTGGTGTGATCTCAGCTCACTGCAACCTCTGCTTTCCAGGCTCAATCAATCCTCACACCTCAGCCTCCTGAGTAGCTGGGTCCACAGGCAGGTGCCACCATGCCCAGCTAATTTTTTGTATGTTTTAGTAGAGATGGGATTTTGCCATGTTGCCCAGGCTGGTCTTGAACCCCTGCGCTCAAGCAATCAGCCCCCTTCAGCCTCCCACAGTGCTGAAATTACAGGCGTGAGCCACCGCACTCAGCTCTCCATGTTGATACATATAAATATACTTATTTGTGTAAACCATCGCACAGTTTTCCATTACCCATTTTCCTTCTCACAGGTACTTTTAGTGGCTTCCCAATATGTTTATATGTTATATATGTCACCTTGTGCATATGTGAAGCTTCTCTAGAGCTGAAGCTGCCAGATATGTAGGCTATGCATACCTTCGCCAACTTCACTAGATGTTTCCAGAATGGTTATCCCAAATTGTATTCCTGCCAGCAGCAGAGGATGGTTCTTCATCAACAACCTCACACCACCCATGGCACTGTCACACCCTTTGATAGTTCCCAATCTGATAAAGATGAAAGGGCTTAAAAGCATTGGCCAGGCATGGTGGCTCACGTCTGTAGTCCCAGCACTTTGGGAGGCCAAGGTGGGAGAATCACTTGACCCCAGGAGTTCGACACCAGCCTGGGCGACATAGTGGGACCCCATCTCTACAAAAAAAAAAAAAGGCAAGTCAGTGACTTTGAACATTTCTCCTGTCCAAGGACCCTTAGATCTCTTCTGTGCCCTGCCTTTCAACTCCCCTGGCTCCTATTTCTGATGACTCATCTTTTTCTTACTGACTTTTGAGACTTCCTAATGTATTCTTGCATACACTAATACTCAATCTGCATTATCTACTGTAAATATCTTTAGTCTCCTGTTTGCTTTTATTTTTGTAATTTAAAAAGTTTAACGTAATCAAATATCAGTCTTATCAGTCTGCTCCTTTATGTTTTCTGCTTTTTGCATCTTAAGATAATTCGTCTCCATCCAAGGTCATAAAGATATTTTCACTACACACACACACAGCCAGGAGAGATGGCTCACACCTGTAATCGCAACACTTTGGAGATAGAGACCAGCCTGAGCAACATAGCGAGACCCTGTTTCAAAAAATTTTTTTTAATGAGCCAGGTGTGGCAGTGCGCACGTGTAGTCCCAGCTACTCAGAAGGCGAGGCAGGAGGATCACTTGAGCCAGTTGTGTGAGCTATGATCATGACACTGCACTCCAGCCTTAGCAATAGAGCAAGACCCCATCTCCATTTAAAAAAAGAAATTCGGAGATGGGGTCTTGCTCTATTGTCAAGGCTGGAGTGCAGTGCCACAATCACAAGACCCCATCTCCATCAAAAAAAAGAAACTCGGGCCAGGCGCAGAGGCTCACATTTGTAATCCCAGCACTTTGGGAGGCCAAGGCGGATGGATCACAAGTTCAAGACCAGCCTGGCCAACACAGTGAAACCCCGTCTACTAAAAATACAAAAATTAGCTGGGCGTGGTGGCAGGTGCCTGTAATCCCAGATACTCGAGAGGCTGAAGCAGGAAAATCGCTTGAACCTAGCAGGCGGAGGTTACGGTGAGCCAAGATCACACCGTAGATCAAGATCCCTCTAGCCTGGGCAACAGAGCTAGATTCCATTTCAAAAAAAAAAGACAAGAAAAGAAAAGAAATTCCTCTCCATCCAAGATCATAAAGGTATTTTCATAATATATATATATTTATTTATTTTCTTCTAAAGACTGGGTCTTGCTCTGTTGCCCAGGCTGCAGTGGCACAATCCTAGCTCATTGTAACCTCAAATTCCTGGCCTCAAGTAATTTTCCTGTCTCAGCCTCTCAAGTAGCTTGGACTACAGGGGTGCACCATCAGCTATTTTTTTTTTTTTTTTGGAGGTGGGCTCTCATAATGTTGCCCAGGCTGATCTCGAACTTATATCCTCAAGCGATACTCCCACCTCAGCCTCCCAAAGCACTGGGATTATAGGTGTGAGCCACTGTGTCTGGCCTCTTACTCTTTAAATCATTTTCAAGCTTGATATTTTACATTTAGGATTCTAATCCAACTGAAGTTTTGTGTATGCATGGAGATGATGGTCCAATTTTTTTCATATGGAAAGCCAATTTTCCCAGACCCAAATGTTTGAATAGTCCATCCTTCCTCCATTGATTTCCAATGACATCTTTCTCATATAACCAACTTTCTATATATGTTTGGAATGTTTCCGGGTTCTCTGGTCTGTTTTTTTGATATTTCATTTTTTTGCATACCACACTATTTTCATTACCGTAGCTTTATAAAAAGTCATGATATATGGTAGGACAAATTTCTTCTTCCTGAATTGTCTTTTCTTGGACTTTTACTCTTCCATATAATCAATATGCTGAATTCCAAGAGCAGTACCATTGGAATTTGGATCAGGATTGCATCGATTCATAAATTAATTTGGGGAGAACTGACACCTTCATCATTTTAAGACTTCCCACTTATAAACATATCTGTGCAAGCATTCAGCTCCTTAGGGCCTTGAATGACATTTCCTAATTACTGCAACAAAAGTCTCGCATAATTTTAGTTAGATTTATTTCTAGGTACCTGGAAGTTTTGTTACTACTGTGAATGAGACTTTTCTTTTAAATCGAATTTTCTAATTGAATAATGTTATTATATAGAAAAGCTATATTTTT